TGCCGGAGGTTTCTTCCTGTTAAAAGGGAGTTTTTCCTTCCCACTGTCGCCAAAGTGCTTGCTCATAGGGGGTCATATGATTGTTGGGTTTTTCCTCTGTATCTATGAAGCGCCTTGAGGCGACTTTTGTTGTGATTTGGCGCTATATAAATAAAATTGAATTGAATTGAATTGAAATAAATAATATTCAATAAAAAGACCAAATTTAAAACCTAGCTAACCACTTTATAACCATAGCTGCAGCCTAGTAGCGCTAACAGTTAGCGCCCCTAGACATTGCTATATAAATATACCTTTATTTGTGTAGCCCTGTTCAAGTTTTTTCATCAAATTTTTGATGTGTATATTTGTATATTTTTGAACTCTTCTGCTCCAATCGTTAAGCTTTTCCAACTGTTAAGCTAGGGCTAAGCTAACTGCCTCCTCTTCTCATGTAGCCCTCAGTAAAAAATACAAATTAAAAAGCTACATTTCTCAAATGTGTGTCTTCAGTTAAATTGGTATTACAGAGGGAAGTGAATTTTTTGTGGACTGGATAGAGTCACAGCAGTCAGCACTCTTTGCACTGATGCTAAACTCAGTTTTACTGATTTATCCGTTTTTATCTCAATCTCTGCCTCTTTTCATATCCACTCCGTTCCCTCCCTGACTATCTCTAAAGGTATTTCCACACATTAACTTTGGAAAATGTGTAAAGAATCAGGTCAGGGAATTGCTCTTTCTCAAATGCAGCTAACAACAGTATACAGTTAGCGCTAACAGCCTTCTCTCTTCCTGAAATACTTTGTTTGGTTTAGAGGAGGGTGCTGCTTGAGTGTGTACGAGGCAGAAGACAGGATGACCACTCAATAGCTGCAAATACCCTGGACTATTACCAGTGCTATACTAATATTGGAAGTGAGGGTAAAGATCGTTAATGCCCAGTCTGATTGCACAGTACATTTGCTTTCTCATTTGCACCTCCGTTGGGTAATGTGTATAAAAGTACAGGGCTGAAGTGAATGTGTAAAAATGGCTTTCACCTACCTACTCATGCTCCTTGTTTTCTTTTCACCTTGCCCTCCCCTCTGTGCATTTTCTTCTTCACAGTATGCTTATTTTCACCTTTTTTCTCCTCCCCACCCTTCCTCATCTCCCCCTCTTGTCTGTACTTTCTCTGTGTTCATCTCCTTCTCTTCACGTTCCCTTTTCTTTCTCACCTCTCATCTTCTCTACAGACTAGCAAAATGTAAATAACCGAGAATGCAGCACCATGCCATCAAAAGCACATCAGCCTGTAAGAGAAACCAAAACTCCATCAAAACAACCCCATAAATAAATTCATTGAAAACTAAATAAGAGATCTTAGCCTCTTTTTCTTTATTTTTCTCTCAAATCTCGGGGACTTTGCTGATTTAGCAGCCACGCATGGATAACTGCTTTGTTAGTGTGTGTGCAGTCAGTGTGTGTGCACATGTGAGCATGAATGCATTTGCATAATTTTGAGAGTTATTATGGTGCAAATAATGTGTGGGTTTGAAAGTGAGCAAAGCAGTCCTTCTCTTAGCTTAGTTTTATATTATGCATAGTTCTGCATCCTTAAAATAATCTTTTTTTTTGCCTGTTACCCTGCAGAGAGTGGCGCTAAGGCTCGCCCGGGGTGAATCCTTTCTCCTTCATCTGAATCAGTACAAATCTCAGCATCTTATTTTTATATTCAGAGATTCACGTCACGAAAATTTTTTAGAGTAAATCAACAATTTGTTTCACTCTTTGCCATACAGACAGCTTCATAGCTGGCTGTTTTTCAGACTGGAAATGGTACTTTCAGAAGAGTCTCCCAGAACTTCCTTA